CATATTAATAAGCTGGATGCTGTTGTAGGCAAATGAAGATTCATCCTGTATACTAAATGGACACACAGGGCTTTGGACATTAAAACCTGTTTTATTTAGAAAAGGAACGCTGGCCAGGATACCAGTGTTATTTCCTAATCTATTCAAAAAGGACTGTGGAATGGGATCTTTAAATAACATCTGAACAATCAACAAAGATGAGCAGAAGGCACCTTACTTTACCATATAAACTGAAGAGAGGCTGGCACCATAATAGGACAACAGCATTAATCCTGGGCATGAGTTTAAACTTGGATGTGGGTTCTGAAGCCATGCATCGTATGTCCTAATGATCGTATGTCCCAGTGCACTTATCACCTGAGCCATACGGACACTATAGTGTGTAGCCAATATGGAGTCCATTTCCTTTCATTCATGAAAATTGCCTTGGTCTTCGGAGATGACAGCAAGAATGATGCTCTTAAAAAAAAAAAAAACCAACTAACCAACCAAAAAAACCCAAAAAACCACCAACCCCAAACCCCACTTGTCCATTTTCAGCTTATTGCAGCACTGGAACAGAGTGATTCCCTCAGCTCCCCCTGCAGCCAGTGACAAAAACTGTCACTAACTTCAGCGGGGCAGGACGGGCTATTAAGAGAAGCGACCATTTTAGCTTCCAACTACTTCCAAGCATAATCAATATATCGGTAGTAACTGACGTGTGTCGGGGAGGGGGCGGGGGGTGAAGAAACAGCCCCGGATAGTTGGTGGGGCTGGAAAGCCTTCCTCAGATGAGGAGTTTCTTCATGAACAGTCCCATTAACTTTAACAGGACTGCTCACATGAAGACTGCGCCCTTGATGACACACTGTGGCGCTGGCCATGCCAACACTCGTGCAAATGAGTAGCCCCCTTTATGGGACTGCTCACGTGGGTAACATTACAGGCGTAAGCGTTGGCCAGACTGCAGATTACATATGTAGAGATTATTTCATCCATCTTTGTTTCAGAAGGTGCTTTCAGTAAGGGGCTCTTAACTCTGGATTTCTCTCGCCTTGCTGATCCAGTCTACTGACCTTCAGTATGCTGTAGGGCTCATGTATTTACACATGGCCTTTTCTGCCTAGAGCTATTTGGGTGGCCTGAGATTCCTATGTTTTAAGGAGGAGGGTTTTTCGTTGTCCTTTCGTTGGCATTGTGTCAAATCTGAGTGGGTCTAGTTCAGTGGTTCTCAAACTGTGGTTTGGGACCCCAAAGTGAGTTGTGACCCCATTAAAATGCGACCCCATTAAAATGCGACCCCATTAAAATTCAGCCCAGGCCTGGCTTAGACTTGCCAGGGCCCAGGGCTGAACCTGAAGCCTGAGCTCCACCAACAAGGCCGAAGCTGAAGCCCAAGGGCTTCAGCCGGGGGTGTCAGGGACTCAGGTTACAGGCCCCCTACCCGGGATTGAAGCACTTGGGCTCTGGCTTTGGTCCTCCGGCCCGAGGTGGTGGGGCTCAGGCTTTGCCAACCTCCCCACACACCCCAGGGCAGCAGGACTCAGGTAGGCTCAGGCTTTGGTCCCCCCTTCTGGGATCATGTAGTAATTTTTGTTGTCAGAAGGGGGTCACAGTGCAATGAAGTTTGAGAACCCCTGGTCTAGTTAATGTGCTTTTTAATTGAATATAGACTTGGAGAGTTTCTGATGAGTGCATGTTATCAATGGAAAACAATATTAAATGAAAAAAGCAGCCCTCTCTAGCAGCAGCCTTTACAGAATGTGGAGTGCCGGAGTAGGCAGAATGCAATTACTGTGTTGGAACTTAGCTAGCATGCTGGGGATAACAATGTAGACTCCTGGGAAAAGTGCCATACCTGAAACCTCAGAAGCTTTCCAGCCCCAGCTAGTATCTATGGATGTTTGTACACCAAGCAATCATAGGCCTTGTCTACACTACAGGGGAAATTCGATCTAAGCTACGCAATTTGAGTTACGTGAATAGCATAACTCAAACTGACGTACCTTAGATCTACTTACCGCGGGGTCCACACTATGCAATGTCGACGGGAGTTTCTCCCGTCGACTCCCCTTGCTCTTCTCGATTCAGTGGAGTACAGGAGTCAATGGGAGAGCGATCTGCAGTCGATATAGCGGGTCTTCACTACACCGACTAAATCGACTGCCGATGCATCGATTGCCGCTAGTGGATCCCCTGGTAAGTGTAGACAAGCCCACATACATTTAAAAACAGGAAAACCAGCTTGCTGTTGGTTACCTTTTAACACAGCATCTCTCTCTTACTCTGCTAATCAAACACACATTCACTTTTTAAGGTATCTATCTTGGTGGGTAGATCACAACTGGGATTCCCTTAACTCCTTCCCAATTGGTTAAGGATATGTAGCAGAGGACTTTGATCCAAGAGACAAACAGCAGGTAATTCTTGTGCAGGGCCTGCCCTCTGGGCTGTTGTCAGCCTGGCTCCATCCAAAAGGGCAAAGCAAGACATTTCCTGAAAATCCAATGCTATCGGCACTTCAGTGCAGAAAGGCAGAGTCTACATGCTTCATGGCTCATCCCTCTCCCCCACTGCCTGCAAAGAAGATCATATTTGCTGGTTGTGGTGCGGAGTAGCCACAGATTTAGACAGACATTTAGAGAAGCCACACAGCCTCCTCTCCCTCTGGATAGATCTTCTCATATATTCAAGGATCTGAAAACTTAATAAAAATGAATTGACACTGACTATTTCTAGCCAAAAGCAAATGGCAGAGGCTGACTTGGAGTGTGAATGTAATTCAACCTGAGCAAATGCCCTGCACCTCTTCTGTGCAAAGAGGAACAGTTCTGCAATATATCTTAACCCCCAAATCTAGTCAGTATCCATTCACCCCTATTTCCGTATGTATCCCTTTCTCTCTTGAAACTGAGCTCCTGAATTACGACTCTCTGCTAACCTGAGCAGTTTGTTTCAGATTCCAAACACGGAACCACCCTTTGTGTAAAGAACCTGTTGGCACATTAATTTCTTCCTCAATGTTGGTCCATGAGCTCTTGTGTTAAACTGAGTCACTGTTTCAAACAGCCTATTGGCATCAGACTTTCCGCTGACCTTGATGCTCCTCCTCCCTCTTTGTTCTGTACTCTAAACTGGGTAGTTAAAATTACTGCAAGGCACCCAAGTGGCACTGCTGTGAATGGTCTGCAAACATTTCCATTATAAAGCCTGGCACTGATTTGTACACAAAACTCCCATTGACTTTAGAGGGAGTGACACAGGCGTAATAATGGCAGGATGTGATAGTCGGCATTTGGGCTCTGGCAATCTTAAGGAACATGGAGTTTCCCAATCTGCCCAGATGGTGCCTAGAACGGTAATCCCGTAGGTACCACAGGAATGAAACTGAGTACTGGTTCAGCTGCATGCACGCTTTCTTGCCCTGGGTGCTGGACACGGCTGGCCCCATCTACCCCGGTGTGGCAAGTGTTTGCAGCAATGCCAAGGCGTGCCCAGAGGATGAGACTCCTAACCTCCTCTTACCAACCCATTTACTAATGTACTGTCTGTACTCAGTCAATGCTTGGAAATACATCAGGCACGGCCATCCTTGTGAATCTGTGTTGATTTGATCTTTTACCAGTCGTGGCTATTTTATAACCTTACACCCAAATCAAACCTACTCTGTCATTGTGGTATGTGAACAGCAGAAAGTCCTGGGATTAAATAAAAGCCTTTCACCGGACAGAACAAGAGAGAAATTTAAGAGATCGATCTTGGTGACAAGTTAGCTCAAGAAAAAGAACCCATCAGTAGCTGACTGTCAAAAAGGAGAGAAGGACAGTGACAAAGTGTGTCTCTTTGAATTGCTACTGGTGGATCTCACATTTTCCTATAGCCATGTTTCTAGAAGCTCGTTCAGAATATGTGCCAGCCAATTCTGTTCCCCATGCTCACTCCTCCTGTGTATCTTTCCATCCCCTGGACAAGAGCACAATGGTCTAAACTGATCTGAAGTGACTGCTGGCAGCATGCACGCTCCCGTGAGCTACTGCCCAAATCCTGGGGGTAAGAAGCACATCAGAAAACTAGTTCTGCACGGGGACAGAGGAAACATGGCTACAAGAGAGAAACCAGGTGTATTCCCCCCCACAGGACAACTCGCACAGGTGTCGAAACCTCCCCCAACCATTCTAGGAAACCAGTTCTCCAAAGACCTCCAGGGCTCATTCCAAGCTCTGAATGGGACTTAATCAGTTGTTGAGCTGGAATAGTTTCCGTGCACATCACGTGCTTGGACGGTATGACAGCTTGCCAGCAGAGGGGCCTGTTAGGGTTCGCTAATAGATGACTTGTAGGGAGCCAGCGAGGGAATACAGGGCCCTGTGCTTTGCTTCAGTAACTGTGATTATTGGCAGGAATTACTCAAATACACAGACGGGGATGAGGAGGAAAGAGCAGCCTTGGATATTCAAGCACATGTTCTCAACCCACCGCCTATGGTTACACACCTCCTGGGAATCAGCAGATTGATTGGCCTGCAGCTGCACCAAGGATTCAACCAGTATCTCACCCATGTGAGATACTGGACTAATCTTATGGCCTGATCCACTTATCATCTCTCTCTCTCTCTCTCTCTCACACACACACCCCCACACCCACCCCACCCACTGAAGTAAATGGAGATTCTGCTTAAGGAAAGACTAAAGCCAGGACCAATAACTCTGAACCCATGTAAAGCAGAGACCCCCAGCTACACCAGATTGCTTCATACTGCGGGATGACCTAGTGAGGTTCTTAAAAGTCCAGTAGCGAATGCACTATCAAACTCATTAGAAGCACGTTTGAACTAAACTTTTGTATTGCACATTAAGAGTTTGCACTGTCTATCTGCTGGAGAGGAAGCATGTCTCTTCCTCTCCAGTTTTCCAGAATTCATGGACTCTAAAGCTTTCATTTTCCTTAGGATTCTAACTAGCCATGGCTTAAAAAAGAAAAAAAAGAAGATGTATTTTGACATGGCAAAATACCCTTACTTTTCTAGGCTTGACTTTGTCTTGTAAGTCGTACTGTCCTATTCCTTTATAACTGATGCCAAGCCACCACGGGATTCCTTGTTTATCCTGTAAAATGGAAGAACACAAGAACCAAGATCTAATAAGGAGTTAAGAACTTCAAAGGTTACATCGTATTTACCGATTTCATTCTGTGACCAGAATCAGCAGGTTAGGAACACAGGGGGACTTTGCAAACAAACCTGCACTCAAGCCGTGAGACTGTGATGAAAGGGCTCTGCCATTGCCATCTCAGACGGAGCGAAGGACAAAGGGAAGCTGGTCTGTTGGCTGCGCAAGTGGGCAAAAAGCAGCAGATGCTGCAACACGTGGGTGGAGATCACGGCAGGTGGGACCGCGGGGAGGGAAGGACGGCAGCAGAGGGAGTGGCCAAAGGCCGTGTACGCAGTACAGATGCATTGCACAATACACAAATAAATGCAGAGAGGGAACAGAAGACTATGTCCAGTACTCCTCACTCAATACACCATAGTAAGTGACTGTGATCCCTGCTGGATAGACACCCTTATATGCGATAAAGAATTTTTTTTTTTTTTTGGCTCATGCTTTGCCCATTTATCCAGAATTTGTTTCCAATGTATTGACTCGTTATTAAACTATTCCCTTCCCCGCCTCAAAAATCTTTTCAGTTCTATAGAAATTTTGTCAGCATCATTTTGTTCAATTTTAACAAAATGCTTCAAATGGGGCTGAGAAGGAAGAGACTGCTGAGCGTGATAATGGCAGCAGAATTTCACTAATTACAGAGGGTGCGTTTACACTGCAGCTAGGGGTATGTTCTGCAGCTCATGTAGAGGTACCTGTGCTAACTTTAGGCTAAAATAGCTCTGAGGGCGAGGCGGCGTGGGCTGCACAGGCCTGCCTGACCTCCTTGGTATGTATTCGATTGTACAGCCAATGCTTAAGCCCATGCCACCGTGTTCTCACTGCGCCTCTGGAGAAATGTAACTGCTTAAAAGCTAGAAGTGATATCCAGTTTAATTAGGATGGTAGGATTACGGGGAGGGGGGGTGTTAAAACAACAATTCCCTTCTGCCTTCTCTGTAAATGATTTGCAGTCCACCAATAACAAAACAGTTCTGATTCATACTTTTTCAGTGTTCTTAGAGAAGTCCAGCTTTTAATATTGACAGGCAGATGCTGTACAGTGAAACTGTTCCCTCAAGAATGGAATCATGTTATCTATAAACAATCACTAACCTTTACTCCATAGTAATGGACTCCATATGTAGGCAGAGCTTCTACCACTTTCATGTACCTGTAGACAGATTTACAGTGTATTTGATGAGTTGCTCTGGAGAGAATAATGCCTCTTAACATATCCTCTTTTACATATGCATTCAGATAAAATCATTTATCTTTTGCATATTAAGTGACGGGCTCAGCACCCTCCATTGGGAACAGAGGTGAAATTCTGGCTCAGTTAAAGTCGATGGCAAAACTTCTGTGCACATGCAACAAATATTTGGAAAATAAAGTAACTGTTCCCTGTAATTCCTCTTATCAAGAGTTGAGGAAGCTGAAACTAAAACTACATGTTGAAAGGTCTTTTCTGAAATGTCAGAATCATAGAACCATAGGGTTTAGAAGGGACCGCAAGTCTAATCCCCTGCCAAGATGCAGGATTTGTTGTGTCTAAACCATCCAAGACAGAATGTTGCAGGAAAAGAGCTGCCTAGGCTTATTTAATTCTGGTGACTTGGGAAAATGGGAAGGAGAGTTATGGTAACATCAAAAAATAAGTGGTTTTAAGTAGTAATATTAATACATTTATGCCATTAAGGGTCTACGTGATTCAATACGTTGGTGATTCAATGGATTAGTGAACCTCTGAAAAGATCATTTATTCTACATTCCTACTTGAAAGAGTCCTAGGACTTAACAGCAGGACTTTTACTGGTTAGGAGAGAGGTGCAGTGTGGGGAAACTTGCACGCTGTCTGCTTTATATAACTATGTAGCTCTTCTCAAACATCTGGGCATATTACACCTTATACTATATTTGCCTCCACTCAGTGGTTCTAGGTCTGATATAAAGCTCAGCAATGGGAATCTGTCCATTGACTTCAATTGGCTTTGGAATAGCCCCTAAGTCCCTCACCTTTTGAAAATCAAATTCAAACCACCTTAAAACAATAAATATATTTGTTATCCTTACACAACTTAAGGCAACATCCTCCTTCAGATTTTGGGGTAAAAATTAACTGTTAGCAAACAAAGCTTGGAGGCAATCCCTCTGGTACTGGTATTAAAATGAGGCCATAATCATTTTTTGCATATCGAAGATATTTAAAGGAGGTAAAACCTTAACTGGGGACTTGTGAAATGCAAAATTTAAGACATGGGTTAATGTAAATTTGCTGTCTGTATTAAATAGTATCAATCAAAAATGTCGTTGCTACAGATATGAATGGTAAAAGTCCACAGTGAATGATTATCAGCACAACATCACTCCCACATATCAACAGAAAGTATTTCAAAAATACCCCCCAATGAAATAAACGATACACTCACTGAACAATAGCTTGTCCTCTGGTCAGACCTTTAATTTTTATATAATGTTCAATTACTCTGTCCTCACTGCAAAACAAGCACAAAATCAATTTAGCGGCTCAGTGATTTTTTTTTTACATGCAGTAACTTTTGATGATATTCAAACCCAGGCTCAGCATGTACCAAAGGCGCTTCATTGAACATTTCCCAATAGTTTCAGTTTTGTAATGACTCCAGTTCCATCCTTCATTATGCAGAATGGAACCTTCTGTCTAATCCTTACTACATCATCCAATGTTCCAGAGTCTAATTAGCTACTCATTTCAGATCAACCAGCTTTGTTACAGATGCTGCTGTAGAATAATGGTACTAATTAGATAAATTCATATCAAGGACCTTTTGTTCGGCTGGAATTAGAAACAAAATACGCATTCGGCCCTCTATCACTCTTGAAGACAAATGAAAACCAGGCCAAGTGATTTAGTTGCATAGCACTTAATAGGGAAAAAAATGAATCCTTCTAAAAGGTATTAGTGGTAAAATGAGAAAAGTGTAAGTTAGAGCCTAGAAATGAAATAAAGCAGGATACTGTACCTGCATAAAGGGGATCTATTACATCATAAAAGTATCTTATTGTTTAATACTGTTTCTTCACAACACAAATGCTGAGCTGTATTTCTTACCTAAGGACACATGCTAAAGATGGACTCAAGGCACAAAACTGTAACTGGCTCTGCATTTCAGACACCCCCTGGCCTGGGGAATTGTTTTGATTAAGCCTGCTCTAAACAATGGGTGCCATTTGCAAAATTCAGAGCTGGACTGCAGTTTGGATTTCAAGTCTCTCTCAAATGTGGTGATGTTCAGATCCAGAGATTTTGTTTGACCCTACAAAGGTAAGGGCTAACAAACACATTTATATCCAGATCTGGGTTTGGATTCAGAACCTCTAAAGTTTAGAAGTGTTTAGATACAGGGCTTGGGATCAAACCCATTTATAACACATGCTACACCCTTTACAAACAGTGTACAAAACTGACCTGGTAACGGCTACTAATTGCTACTAACATTCACATTTCTATACTAGCAAGGAGCTTACCAGTAAGTGAGTGAGGGGTGTTCCTGCAAGGTCTTGGTAGGGAAGGCAGGCAGTGCCTTTAAATCTTTTCTTGTGTTATCGTCACTAAAAATAAAAATGGTACAAAAGTTACTGCTGCTAAATCACAGATGCAATCATTAGTTTCCAGAAAAGGAAAGGCCACTGGGTATCAGCTACCCAAAAACATGTTCATTTGCACAATATTCCAGCTTCTTTAGCAATGTAATTCTAGAGGCCTTCTGACATGACAATTCTGTAAAATGCTGTCCTGTACACCAGGGTTATCATTCATTGTGAGCACAATATCATGGCCAATGGGGAAATCAGGCTGCTGAAGAAAAGAAGAGATGGTATTTATCCATCTTTTAACAAATACCGTTGATTCCAGGCAGAATACAGGAAGTTGGAAACCTGCCCCGAGCATTTGTAGAAAGGAAACCTCTTGCCTGAATGACCATGTTGTTTTCAAGGTTTTCAGCAGAATTTTTGTTCAGCCTTTAGCTAGAAATCGACTCCTGTTAGGCAACCCATCTATTCCAGGCATGAAAAATACGAGGGCTGGTCAAAAAATTTCTAATCAAATAGTTTCCGGTTGAAAAAAACAAGTTTAGTCAAAATCAAAATTTTCTGAAGAGGGAAAAATACACTAATTTTGGTAAAATTTCCACAGAGAAAACCTAAATGAAATGTTTCATTTTGGATTGACTTAAAACTACAATTCCCATGGAACACTGCAGAGGCTTGGGTGGACGCAGAGATTAACATCAACCTGACCTGAAATAAACTGTTTTCATTTCAGGTTGGCAAACTGAAATTAAACATTTCAATTAGGGAACGTGGAAATGTTTGTTTTGATTGAAAATGTTGAAACAAACAAAATGGTTCGACCTCTATAACAGAAATTTTTCTGTATTTTTTCCTTCCGTGAAAAGTTTGGATATTTTGATTGTTTGGCCCAATTTGGGACAAAACCCAGAAACAAAAGATCAGAAATTCCATTTTTGACCAGTTCTACAAAAATAGTTAATAGTCTAGTAAAAGTAAATACAATACACATTGGTTTTTGAACAAACTGGCACCCACTGAAGCTGGCAATAATAGACAGCACTGAAGTGGTTAAAATTTTCTGTTTACATGCTCCATTAACCAATCAGCTGAAACTTGCACACCTCATTTCTGCAGGATTTCTGCATGCTTTAGCAGTGGTAGGAACAGGCATAAACATGACTTTTCCATGTAAAGAATGCACTGCTCTGATTCATTAACACTGGCCTAGATTTCTGAATTGAACAAGCTGGGTGACTTCCCGGAGGAGTTGTTCAGATGTCTGTTTTAGAGCCATGTTGCCGATCAGACTCTCCAGTTCAAGATTTTGTCTCAGTCACATTCCAGTTCTTCCCTCAGAATTTCTTGGTGTGCGTCTCACTGTGCATTGCTAGAGAGGAGCGCAGCATAAAACCTGCAGCATCGGCCCCGATCTTGTAATGCTGCATCTAGAGAAAGCAATGCAGGCCCAAGGCAGCACTAAAAAGTTGGCTTCTTGGAAGTGTGCTCAGTGCTTTTGGCAGGTGTTGTGCTGAAGGCACTGTAAATTAAAACCCTGTGTTTATTCAGAGCATGGGCTAGCCGCAGCGCAAGCTTCTTCTACATCACCCTGACAATGTGTCAACCCTGACATAGAGGAACCTTCTCTAGGGACGAGGTGATGAGCCTCATTTTATTCTTCACCACCTCGGCTGAAGTTGCCACTACGGGTGGCCTATCGTACTAACTGGCTTTCAGTTTTATTTCTGAGCTTCCCACAGCCAGTGCTCTTGTGCCAGGAACATGCACAGCTCTTGGCATTCTGATCAGCCCCTGAATGCCACAAAACATGGCTCTGTGAAGAAAATCAGAATTTTTTTTATTTTATTTTTTTTAAAAACTCCCAGTGTTGTCAACTCTCACAATATTGGGTGGGCTTTTTCCTTAAAGTCCCAGATGCTGAGATTGACAGAAATTACATGGGAATCTCAGCTTCCATTTAAACCAACATACAAAAAATACCCAGTAAGTTTCTAGCTCTCAGGGTTGTGGAGAAAAATCTTGAAAACATGACCCGAGTGCACCCTAAAGGCTCAGAAACCAGAAAGCAAATAAAAAGAACTCAATTGGTATTTATTTTTGTTTTAAAATCTCATGGTCTTTAAGTCTGTCTCACAATTTTTTGGGACCAGACTCATGAGTTTTGAGCCCTCTGGGTTGGCAATGCTGAACTCCACTGAAATATACTGGATTAGAGGAGTTTTAGAGGAAAATGTGAGCTATTTTCCTCAACGAGGAGGGGTAGATGTTTCCTAAATACAGACATTTAGGCCACAATCTTCACAGCTGTGGGAGGTCTAGTATTTAGCACCAAAATCCCTATTTCGGCCCCTCGTTTGAGAGTTTTGTCACTGTACTTAGGTGCCAGCAGGATCGGGGTCCTAAGGAGGTAGCTTGATTTCCACAGGTGCTAAACCTCACTGAATTCAATGGGTGCTCAGCATCTCTGGACTCCAGGCTACTCATTTAGGTGCCTGTATTAGTCACCTACCTTTGAAAATGTTCGCCTTAATATGTAGGCGCTGAGCTGGGGCAGGCTTTCTGCTTCACTGCAAGGCCTCTCATCTCCGCATATGGTGGGTTAGTAGACTAATCTAGTAACATTTGATCCTCATCGGATATCAAGATACAGGCTCCAATCAAATAAATATGGCCCTTGACGCTGTAACTGTTGAAATATCTGCAACCTGGCCGCAGACTGAGCTCTACATTGCCTGCTGCCATTCTGTCAGGACGGACAGCACTCTCTCTGCCCTGTGGGGCTCGTCTGCCCACCGCCAGTCAGTTTGGGAGACCCCCTAGTGGCTATCGATTACAACCTTTATGCAAATCCTCCACACTGAGACATCAGCTCATTTCGCAGGCCACTGAGAACTGTTCTGTGGTAGCAACAAATTGCAATCACTTGCAGGGCCTCGACTGGACTGGAAGTGGCGGTTTAGCGGTAAAGGCTCTGGGCAGATCCCCAGCTAGTGTATGTCAACGTAGCTTGATTGAAGTCAACAGAGCTCTGATGAATTGCACAGGCTAGGGATCAGGCCTTCTGGCTGCAGAACATAATCCCCTGATGCACCCATTTCCCCATAAATATAAAGAATAAAACAATTTTTGTTTGAGAGGCCCAGACCTTGGAAGTTATCCCTTCCTAAGGTCCCCATCCTTTGATATGCCGTTTGACAGGTGCGTATTCTACATAGCATTCTGCAGCACATCTCCTGGAAGTACAAGACTATGGTAGAGGAGTTTGGTGGTTAAACAGAAGGCCCCACATTTCTAACAGCCATGTTGAGTTCCTTTCTCCATAGCCATAAGGTTAAACCTGTGGAATGTCTGGAAATATGAACGAAAAACTTGAAGAAAAAGGGTATGTCTGTCTGCTTCCTTCATCATGTACCTTTGCCCTCGAGTAAATTGCACAGCTTGGTATTTAAATGGCATCAAACTGCTGACTACACAGTAGGGATTAGCATTTGGGATGATTCACAGCTTCACGGAGAGTGAGAAACTGGGAGTCGGAGCCTCTCCCCTCCTCCCCAAAAGTTCATTATCACTTCTCCCTCTGGACAAAGCATGTTCTCCCCCTGATGTTTAGAATCACTACCACACGCCTTAATAATAGGCTCAGCTGTTTCTCAGAGGTGAGGAATCCAGATGAAAGTAGCATTTGAATGACAGGTTGGTGTTTGGTTTTTATAGGATCTGGAACCAGAGGTGAAATCATGAAGAGAGGGGACTGGGGAGAAACGCCCACTGCTCCACTGTTGAAATGAGTAGGTCAAACAAAGAGCTGAATTCTAAAAGCCTCTCTCTGAAAAATGACTCTGGGTGGATGAATTTGAGGGTGGGTGGCGGTTACTGTAGGCAGTGGGTTGTTTGCAGTTGGTGATAACACAAGCCAGCCCTCCTAAGAGCAATGCTGGAATTTGGCTGTCAGGACCAGGGGGCCCCCACTTGCATTTAATCTGACCTCCAATACCAAGGGACTTCTTCATGAGTCAGCCCTGGTGGTTCCTGGCACCATTCCAACACTTAAAATGCCCAGGGTCAACAGGGCTGAATTTCTTTGGCAAAAAAGTTCATTTCCTAGGAAGAGAATATGGAACAAGCTTATTTGAAGTATTGTTCCCCCAGGAGAAGAATGAAAGAAAATGTGTATTTTCTCCTTTCTTTTCCATCCCACCCCGTGTATATTGTCCCCTAGTGTACATTTAACATAACTTGAATTGATCACCATCATCTGGATGGGAATACCCCAATTCTGAGATTTAATGAAAATCTATATTATGCACTTCTCAAGGCACAATGTTTTAATTTGCATTCTGTGCATCATCTATATTTAGTTTTCTGAAACAATGTGAACTAGCTTAGGGCGAGATACTGCCCCTGATCTGTATGTACAACTCTTATTGGTCTTAGTGAATGTGCTGTGTGTGTGGACTGAGTCCCTACAAAAATCCAAACAAACCCAACAACAAAATCCAAACACATATTGTGCTATGAATAGAAAATCTAATCAAACAAACTACCATGTTTTTCTTATAGTAAGTCTGGCTCAACTTTATCTACCTATTGAAACCCACCTTATACCAGAAAGAGTAGGTTGTGGCTAAAACTTTTAGCTTTGTACATAAATCTCCATTAGAATTTTAAGAGGAACTTAAGGCAGACAATAATGGCACACTTCACTGGAAGTACATTACTAAGAATTAAAAACATTTAAAAGATGCATAATATATTTTCACTCTCAGTATGTGTATCTTCACAGCTTGTCATTTCACGATACAACGCTCCCTGCTAGCCCAAGATTTACTGACACAACAGAACTGTGCTAATTAGAACCATTTGTCAATAGGTGCCCCCTTTTCCTTGTGCCCACTGTGTCAAATAACAATTTATTTTTGTTGCTAAAGCAGTAACTCAAGGTAAAACCTTTGATGGAACAAGATGTGGTTAATGAGATTATCATAAAATGCGGAGCATGAAGTACAAAAGCAACAGGC